AGAGTTTTTTTTTCTACAACCAATTTATAGAAGAGATCAATTATCATTCGTTCAATGTTTTGAATAACGAACTAAGTTGTTTTGGAAGTTTGCTCTTGATACGTATCGCCTCCTACATATGTTTGTTCTTCCTATTCATAAGTTTGTTCGTATATATTTTTGTTAGCCAATCGAACATCGTTTAATCAAAACACCGGCATTAATTCCATGTTTTCCTCGATCCCAAAAGAATTGAGCGTCGATGACCGGCAGAGAAGCCATTGATTGCCAGTTATTTTAGCGTTGTTCTAGGCGATGTTGATCTGCATTTTTACGTGTTTGAATTAATCGTAAAATGGATGTGTGATATTTATAATGTTAACTCGAATTGTTTTAAAAACGATGGCCGCCAGCTCGGGTTTCTACTAAATTTCGTCACAAAATCTTGACTGGTGGAGACAACTTAAAAAGGACAAAGTTTAGCCACCGAATTCTCTCCTTCAACTTCATAATATAACAAATTTGTTATTAGGAAGCAAGCAAAATTCATTCATAGAAAGGAGTGATACTTGTCCAATTAACGATACATTTTTTCCCTTCTTTGAGTCATCTTGAACCAATTCGGCCATCAAAAGCGCGTATATCGGCGTTATTTTGCTCTCTGCTTACCCTATGAGCAGGGAAGTGTGTCAGTATTTGTTTGGACGATGTGAGCCATTTATTTTTATGGGTGACACGACCGTTGTGCAACATATATTTCCATATCTGCCACCACTATCATCTGTTTGGTTGATCTTACAACTTAGTTGTTATTGTACGCAACATTTTATTATATACAACAACTATTATTATTATATTATTGTTATATACAACCAAAACTTAGCTGTTATCATATAGAGATATTATTGAGATGAAGCAGCGTCATCACCAGTGATTGTGGTGACCCGAATAATATTATATGATTTAGATTTATTATTGAATGTACTAGCGGAGAGCAATAGAAGTGCTCAAATCACATTTCTCGGGTTCTTTCCAGCAATATTAAATCGACCTTATAACCTAACGTGTGATATATGTTGAACTCTTTGACGAGATAAGACTTCAAGGATGACATCCTTTGATGGTTTCCCCCGGCTCCGTCTCCGTCCCCCAGTGAGCGCTTAAGCGAGTATTTTCGCCCTTTATTTATCGAGGAGTTTTAATTTAAGTTAATTATAACGCTCAGTATATTTAGGTCGTTTAAAGACGGCTTGGCATGCAATATGCTGCATTGTTCAGTCACGCCACGTATAAAATCTACTGTACTTGTGAACCGTGGATATTATGTGCAGCAAAATTATGCATAAGATTTAATGTCAAGTCTGACACAATTTGACCCAAGAAATAACAAGTTCAAATAATAATTGATCCTCTAATTAATGTAATTGTTTACGTGAGTGGATCAGGCTTAAATCTTGCTCTTAACGTTATATTCCGGGCCCCATAATTTTATTGTTACGGGTACTACACAAGAAAATATGGAGCTCCATAGATATTTTTTATCCTATTAGTCTCGGAATCTAAGCTCTTTTTGTTCAAGTTGAAATTATTTGCTAATTTGAGTTGACGCCAAAAATTGCCTATAGAGCTGAGTGGTACTAACTGTAATGATGTTCGTCCGCAGTATCAGAATTACCTATTTGCAGTGTAACGTCTCAAAGAAACTATATTAATGGTCGAGCATCTAAAAGAAATTGTATTCAATTACGCAGCATGTCCAATTTTTTAAAATGCTAAAGGTACGGACATGCAATTTAGCTTCAGAGATACAACGAAACCAAACATTCGGGAACATTTTTCTTTCATTTATTTCACATCAAGCTTAAATAGTTCGTTGTTCTTCCGACTTTTCTGGTGCGTTTTCTGGGGCTGGTAGAGTTTGAGAGGCAAGTCCCTGGAGACAAGTTTATCCTTTGTTCCGTTTGCTGCACTCATATTGAGTCCTACCTGCAAGTCCTGAATTACAGGACGCGTCGAATTGAATTCCTGGCACTACGAGTTCTTAGGAGCACACGTCGTATGTCCGTCCACACGCACAAAAACGAATGGGGCATATTATAGAATAGAAGTGAATAGATGTGTCGGCATTGAAATAGACCCATGTTCTGTCCAATTAGTGATATACTTACTGCACGTAACACTGATAATACCAAACTGAGTCATGATGACACACGCATGGATAAAGAGTTCATCATTATTTGCTGTATGGACCCGCGCAGTTCGTGAGACTTTAATTTTTAAAAAATTTGAAAGCAAAGCTTCGCCTCCAAACTAAGAGCATATCTCGTGAAATGCAGCGCAAAAGAGTATATTAAAATTAAGTTAATACTCATTATACATAAAGTTACACTCATTTTTAGGTGTATGGACCCTCGATGGCCACTTCAATTCCGGCGACATTCCTGCGAACTATGCGGAAATGCATAACTTTCTCATAGAATTCAGTTCATATTTTTTTAATACTTTATATGCAGACGGTACACTTGGCATCGTTTTAATACCTTGCATACAGACGGAACACTTTGCATCTTTTTAATAGTTTGTATACAGACGGTTTACACTTTGCATCTTTTTAATACTTTGTATACAGACGGTTTACACTTTGCATCTTTTTAATACTTTGCATACAGACGGTACACTTTGCATCTTTTTAATACTTTGCATACAGACGGTACACTTTGCATCTTTTTAATACTTTGCATACAGACGGTTTACACTTTGCATCTTTTTACTACTTTGCATACAGACAGTAACTCTAATCAACAAGAATGGCTTTTAGATACGAATGACATTGGCGACGATGAAAGAATTGTAGCCTAAAGATTCTCTGTATTAATTTGTTAAGAAATTACTAATGTTTATATTGTATCTGCGTGTATCATTTTGGAGCCTTTGCTTTTATTTTATATATATTTATTTGCTTTGATTTTTTAAGAACTACCTAAATTTGAAGGGTAAATTCTTTGTAGGTACGAATCAGAGAGTAACGAAATTAAAATCACACCATTAATTTGAATAATATTGTACACTAAGCTACAAATAATGTTATTCTACTGTAAAAGAATGTTTTGATGTAAAATCTTAGCCTTGAAAAATAAGGAAATGATTGCTATCTTGATGACTAGGAGAGCCGTCGTCTGAGTAGGCTCAACGGAATTACTATTCTGATGAGTCAGCTCTGCCTCGCCTGTTCTAGAAAAATACTTCCTGCTGATCTAGAAACTTTCTGCTGTTCTAGATAAAACTTTCTGCTGTTCTAGAAAAACTGCTCTAGAAACTTTCTGCTGTTCTAGATAAAATTTTCTGTTGTTTCTTTCTGCTGTTCTAGAAAAACTTTCTGCTGTTCTAGAAACTTTCTGCTGTCGATTGTAGAAACTTTCTGATGTTCTAGAAACTTTCTGCTGTTCTAGAAAAAACACTTCCTCATTTCATCTTTCATCTGCTAGTTCGTTGAGTCTGTGTATGTATCTCAGGTTTTAGCCAATCTAGTTACCCGCTTTAGTCTTCAAAACAGTTCATCTTATTCGAAGGTTGCAAATTTCACGAAAAATATGCGTATTTTGTTCAAGTTTTTTATCTCTAAAATAAGTTAAGGAATTTTCAGAATTTATGGTAACTTCATATGGTAAATTTAAAGTGATAAAGTAATAGTATTGTTTTAGTCAGAGCTAATATATGTTTTATTCTGTTCATAACAGAAATAATTATATTTTTTTAGGTCTAAAATGTGACGCTAAATGCCGCCACCGTTGTGAGGGATTGGACTCAAAATCGAAATGGATTTAGAAAATAAAATTATAGGAACAACTTAAATCTTTTATTCGAGCAAGTTTAAACTAATGAAAAACTCATTAGCTGACGAAAAATTCGTTCTGAATTTGTGCTGGAAAATGTGGAAACTTGTATATTTTAGCCTGTGATAAAATGAAAAATATTCGGAATAATAACTTGAAGTTTTATCCAATTTTGTGGTAAACATTCGGACAGTTTTCGTGAGATTCAGAAAACGATTCAGGTCAATAGCTTATTTTCTGTGAGAACCACCTGTGAATATATTCATATCCATGCTGCATGGCGAGCTGACGGTGAATTGTTACCTATCTTATGATTTTTATAACACTTATGACATTTTTAAAATTATAGGCGTGAAGAGTATTATAATTAGTATTATAAATAATAATTAGTCTTAAATTATAGGCTTATTATAGCAAGATAAATTATTTTTAGTCATTACAAGGACCACCAAGGGTGTGTTTGCTCAGCGGAGAAACTTTTCTCGTCCCCGACGTTACCTTCAAGAAAACTTGCCAAGATTCTTCAGAGTGAGTGATCAGAAAACGAATTCCGAGTTAAATTACTGTTGTTTTGCAGAAAAATTTTCTATGGATTATAGGAAATTTGCGTGCCATTCAAGATTTATAAATCGAATTTGCCGTGTCTTACATATAAGTTTAATATACACAATATGGAATCATATAAAAAACTAAGGCAACGTGAATCAAACGACGAAAAACTTCACCAAAGATACTTCATTATAACTGGAACTTGAAGATATTTACTTACAGCCTAAGATATACCTTCATAATACAGCTATGACAAATTTGCACCTCCAGTGATGATACTCTCACATAAGAAACGTGTAATGCCTCTGAGTGAAGATTTCTGAGTGAAGATCATTTCATACAATAGATATGAAGATCTGGAGTGCCTCTTAGTCCGAAAATTTATCCATCCGGGTCATGTTAACGATGTAAGTTCTGAAACCTGAAGAATCGCCAAATGTCGAATCTCAATGGAAATACCCATTCTACCGAAACTTTACCGATCTCCCATCATTAAATAATTTGATGGACCTCAGCGTCGAATGTACCCCAAAATATTCGACCAGGCCTGAATAACTTCTACAGAATCCCTTTGAAAACATAAATGTATTGAGCTGCAGCTTTTTACATTCAATGAAACGTTAACTTTCCGTAAAAGTTTTAATTAGATTCTGAAATTTCGATCATTAATTTGTAGTATTTTCTATATTAGGTATTTCACATGTGGTATTTTTGATCTCGAACCTTATCAAACTTCAACACCGAGCTCAACACCCTTGACTGAGCGTTAATTAAAATCCAACTATATTCACGGTCCACTCATGACTGCGTCGCCGAACACCGCAGAATATTCTTTATCTTTCCCGTTCACCGACCCTGACTTTTCAAACGCCACTCTTCACTCTTCCTTTGATGGTTCAAGTTTTCCTGTTGGTGTTCAAGACATTAATTCCAACAACCTATCCAGGATTCATTCATCCTGCCCTGCTACCATCCCCGACTCTTCATTCCTACTGCAGAACATCAACACCCCGTACCTCGTGAGCGAAATCCTGGTAGCTCTCCTGGCCGTTATCGGAAACTCGCTCACTATTTTGGTCTTCATCCTGAACCGCAAACTGCGGAGACTGACCAACTACTACATCGTATCTCTGGCCGCCGCTGACTTATTAGTGGGCATTTTAGGGATTCCTTTCGCGATTTTAACATCCCTCGGCATGCCAGAAGCCCGAGAACCTTGTCTGCTGATGTTATGCACCCTCATCCTACTGTGCACCATCTCCATCTTCTCGCTGGTCGGCGTCAGCGTGGACAGATATTGGGCGATCCTACACCCTCTCATCTACGCCAGACTCATGACTGCGTCCAGAGCCAGACGTGAGTACGATATTCTATTCTATGCAATGTATTCATATTGGTATTGTCATCTAAATGAGCACATTCAAGGAACCAATTGACATGTATTCATATTTTTAATGCCATCTAAATGAGAATGCATGAACTCATTTAAGGGAAGCAATCAGTGATGATTTGAAAATATTTACCGAGATCATCTTTACTTTCTTACTTATCCGTGACTTATGATAAAATTTCTTCATTTACAAACTTATCATTGAAATGTTTGAAGTTGAATTGACACATAATTTTTGACACAAAAGAATAAAAAATTCAAATTTTTGCTCAATTTATTTATGTATTTATTTATTTTTCTTAGCCAAATAGTTGATTGTTTGTCTTCAAACCAATTGAGAAGATGTATTGAGGTACTGAGTAACTAAAATAATAATCTCAATACTAATTACTCATAATCGCGATCAATGTATTTGAATGAAAATGATTACTAGATTATTGTTTGACTACTTTATCTATTGTTTTTTAGTGTCTTAATATAGAATTAAAGAGTAAGAAAATGGATATTGAGTATTATTAGGCTCGAATTTTTTCATAATAGAATTTCATTCTATAATAAAGAATTTGGAGGGTTTTAATTAATTTTTGTGTGCTCTTCTGTGAATAAAGAATAAAGAAAGGGTAGAGGCTGCAGGTATATATCCTTAGGCAAGCCTGGTGCAAGACTTTAACTTTTTGAATGCCTCTTTCTAGAATATAGTCCAATTTTGTTCGTAGGCTCCTAGCCATTTGCCTGGCATGCTTGATTACGTGATTTTTTTAAATAAGACGTGAATGGAGTATTTTTTTCACGGTGAAAATAAAAATTTTCGAAAATAAAAGTATAAATAACTTTCCGCTCTTTTAGTGGATAATCTTACCTCGATGATCCCGATGAAGCTTGCCATGAAGTCGAATAAGAATAAGAAAGGTCACTTTTTTCATATCTCATTCCAAGCGATATTTAGAAGCACCCTTAAAGGTCTTTACAAGTCTATTTAAGTGGTGTAAAGCCGATCACATCGATGGCTAAACTCCAGTCGATTCTCATTTAAAAGCGTAAATAATTTTCTAACATTTTACAATGGCTAATAGTGTAGCTTTTACGATAGGAATGATAACTAGAAAAGTCAATATGAAAAAGGAATGTTCTGAGACTGGTATTGCTGGGAGAAAAATAAAAATAGCGAATCAAAAGAAGAAAGCAACAAAAAAATCGACACGTTCTTGCATCTCAGTTAAAAGATAAGATTTCTTCTTTTTCCGGTCTTGCATGAATACAATTCACAGTTAATGAAATTTCTGATGATTGGGAAACTTGGGGTGGAAGGAGCAGGCAAATGTTGATGCAAACTTTTATATTGTCTTTGCCAAAGATTATTTGATGCATAAACTTTTGAGCTAAGCTAAAAAGTTTTGATAAGCGTCATGAGCAGTTAAAGTTAGGATAGGAAGTGAAATTGAAATTAATTGAAATAGCAGTTCAATATTGATTAAAATTTTGTCATTGACTGATTCCTCAGCTTTATTGAACATCTCGAGTTCTCGGGAAATCAAGGGCTGGAGTTGCAGCACACGGAAGCTTATATTGGTCCACTGAGATCCCTTTAATGAGAACTTCAACTTGTTAATTGAGTTTCAAGTTTTGAAGAGTGTGGATGATGACAAAATTTTCACCGTGAGGGAAAACTTGTCGGTTGAAAAATAGAAAACGTAAATATTTGATCGGACGTCGGGTGAAAATGTCGATAATTATCGACATTTTAAGCTCATGTTTGTGAATTAACATGTACCATTTGTCAGTATTTCCTGGATAACATTGAATTCGTGAAATTTTATTCATATATTGTGTTACTTCCTATATAGTTAAATTTAAACAATTTTTCATAATTTTTTCCTGCCAGTTTCTTCACAGTTACAGCTTTAGTTATATTTTAGGTCTTATTTTCCTCTACTTCTACCATTTCAAGCCGAGAAGCTCTGAAAAAGCTGGTTTTCTAATTATTTTTTCACCTGACAGGTGAAAATGTCGATAACTAAGTGGAAGTCGTGTGAAAATGTAGTTAATTAACCGGATGTCGGGTGAAAATGTAGTAAATTAACCGGACGTCGGGTAAAAAATGCCGATATTTAACCGGAAGTCGGATGAAAATTTAGTTAATTAACCGGACGTAGGATGAAAATGTAGTTAATTAACCGGACGTCGGATGAAAATGTAGTTAATTAACCGGACGTCGGTTTAAATTTGTATTTAATTAACTGGACGTTGGGTGAAAATGTAGCTTATTTACCGTTTGTCTTTGGGAATGTACACTATCCCTGTATCGGGTTGTCGCTTAGGAACTAAAACGGTTATAGATCAAATCAATGAATGCTCGACTGGCATGAAAATATAAGTACCTTTTACGGTATAAATTATATAAAAATACCTACATGGTATCAAAGAATTGTGATTAATGCATGGTTCTATTTTCAAATTAAAGCTCCGTGTCTCCCAGTTATAAAAATAGACTACATGACACTGAATTATAACTTAAACTGAACTCGATGCTACTGGGCATCTTCCTCCTGGGAACACTCCTTCACTCCGACACTTCCTCGACACTCCTTCCTGGGCAGAGGAGTGTCGAACGTGAAGCCTGTAATGCATAAGCTTTGTTCACTATCTGCATTCCAAGTGGTTCGTAAACCTGCGCATAATTTATTCAAATGTTAATATTTTCATACATAATATTCAATATCACAGTACAGTATATGATCTCATAAATATGTTATACCTACATCTCAGCGCCGATATGACGGCAGCGCTGCTGCATGATTCATGTACATACTGGATATCTACAATAAAAATGATTTCACACTTGTCTGAATAATCGTTGAAATATTTCTATATTTTCAATGTAAAAAATTATTAAATCAGCAAAATCTGATTATTTTACGTTTATTGCACCTTTTCTGTTTTGGAATATTCTTACTCATTGAGTAATTGTCACTTTTACATTAATCTGGAAATGCAAAAAATGGAACTCGATCATCACAATAATTGCGACTCAAATGATACTGAAGTCTGTTATTCCCAATAATCGAGAAGTTAGGCTTATAAATATTCATTTCTCGGACGGAGGTACATCGTCACGTAAAACTTGACATGAACCAATGAATAAGATTTAAAAATCTGCTAAAGGTCTCTTATTTTACGGAGCTTTATTAGAAAGATGATAGCTACTGTTATGCGACACGATCAAGAACGCGAGAAACAAATGCAAAAGTATTGCTTGGTGAATCGTTCAGAAACATAAAAGATACGGTGTAGAGGTCTTATATTGAATGCTATTTTATCGTTAGGTATAGGCTTTTAGTTAATCAATGTGTTGTCAAGTTAGAATAAGTGTTAGGAGGTTTGAATTGTAGAATTGTAAGAATATTTTAGAGAGAACTGAAACTGTGCTGGGAAATTGCGGATAGGAAAAGGCAGCAGTTGGAACGCGGTCGTGCACGCAGCTTCTGGTGGTGTGTAAAGCTAGTCTCTCGGAGCGAAGCTACTAGATGTCTATTTGCCGTGTTACAGTCTTTAGTGTGAAGGAAACTTTTAATGTAAATGTAACGTTTTGTGCAATAAAGTATTTTACTGGGACCGTTATTTAAATGAACATTGAACCTGCCACTATACGCACGACATATTTGGTGCCGCGACCGTTCACATGTTGGTGCTGTGATTCTATTTGTGATGTGTGACGGTGTTTACAACGGTCCCTTACCAGCAATTTACTATTTGTGAGATTATGAGGTTACCCATTAAGTGTGGCTTACTTTTATTTTACTGGAGTGAATTTTAAAGAAAGTATTATACGAGCACGTCATTAAAATTTAAATTTTTACCAATATGGCTGAGAGTATTAAAGATACTGTTCCAGTGGTTACGAGTGTTGGTGAAGATGAAAGACTGAGTCAAGAGGAAGAAGAGAAATACATTTCTGATAACCTTGCGTACATTGGTAGATTTTTGACTAACTTGCAAGGAAAAGATAATCGATTGCCTCAAAAGTCACGAGCTGATGTGGAATATTTTCGAAATGCTTGGTCACATTTTTTCATTGAAGAGTCGTCCTCGTCGAGTGAAGCTCCGAGTGGTACGAAGCCTCTGGATGTGCTGACACACCTGCCGAGTGGGGAAGCTACGGGTGCTGTACCCAAACGTGTTAAGAGAGGCCTTAGAGCATCAGTGGAAAAGATCTCTGACAGTGACCAGTCAACTGATTCAACGAGCAGTGAAGACGAGATTAGTTTCAAGAAATCTACAGCTACGAAGATGGGCAAGAAGATTACACGTCCTTCTGAGTGGAGAGCCATTGTGTCACGCTTAGACTCACGAAAAGCTCCACCGATTTGTAAGTACAGCGAGCAAACTGGACAGACTTTAACAGCATACTTAACTAAATTTGAGCAATATTGTGAGGAGACTTTTCGTGGCAGCAGAGATTTGTGGTTATCGGAGCTTGAGGATAAACTTGATGGTAAATGTCAGGAAGCTTTCAAGTCGCTCCATGAAATTGATGACTCCTACGATGTGATGAAGAGAAAGTTACTGGATTGGTATGAAGATATGAAGGAAGTGAGACGTGAGAAGAACAAACGGGATTTTAACAGTGCACGATGTGAGGAGGGAGAGTTAATGCATTTGTTCAGTAGCAGACTGGAACGTTTATTTAAAGTGGCGTATCCTCGGCGTAAAGTGAATGAAAGCAAGACCTTGAGAGACAAATTCATCAATACCGTGCCTAGAAATTTCCGAAAAATGTTGAAATCTCATGTTATGTCAGAGATGGTGAAAGGTGAGACTATAAAGTGGAAATCTATCCAGAAATGTGCTCGATTTTATGACGTTGAACAGGAAAAGGGGAATAAAGACGTGGAGGAAGCATTTCAAGTTCACCAACTTCAGAAGAAGAGAGATGCTACTACGCAATACGTTGTGATGAACGAGATGA